TAATATTATTAAAACCATATTGTCTCAACATATATATAATTTACTATCAAAATTTATTCATTGGCTTATCCAAAATTATTATTCAAAAACAAATCCTCCAATCAGAACACCATCCATCTGGGTTCAAGATTATTAATAAAATTCAACCATGTTTTTATTTATGTGAACCCCATAACTTGATATGATTTACAACAATGAAAAGGGGAGTGCAGTTTAGCTATTCAAGAAGAGCACATAGAAACTATATTAGTTGTGAAATAAATTATGAAAATATAAAGTAAAGTATTGGCAAAATATCCAAATTAAGTTAACCGAAGAAAGAAGAATTTAAGCCTTTAAACTAAGAAGAAAATTATTATTACAGAAGATTGGTGAGAACATTCCATTTATTAACTCAGACTAACTTATAGACTCCTCAAGCATCCATTTGGGCCCAATTTACCTCTCTTAATTAAAATCAAAATCCTTCCTATTTAACTCATTGTTTCTAAAAGATTATTTAATTCAAAACTTACCATAACTTACTTATTGAAAATTTAAATTTGAAATCTTTTGATTCGGCCAGCACGAATCCCCACCCCTGAACAATTTTTGTAACCCTATTTTAACCATTTAACTTATGTACCATTAAACCTTGTATTTTAAAGCCTCTGTCCTTGTAATTATTATTGTTTAACCAAATAAGATTAGAATACAAACCATATTTAAGGGTTTATTTCACACTATTTTGTAAATAAAATAACAGACGTCCAAAAACCCAATTTATCCGAATGTTTTACTTTACATAGGTAATTTATTTATGAAATACTAATAATCTATTTAGAGAATATGTCATCTATGAATAACAAACAGCTGTTTAGATAAAGATTCTTTTTTCTAGCTGTCACTGATATGTTTACACAAAATGTTGTTTACAAATACTGCAACCATTTTCGATCATGTTTTGTAAGCAAATCCAAAACCAAGTGAGATTAATAACCTTGTGACATACATAGCGAATTTAATTGATTGCAAGCACAATAAAGTGTAACTGTAAATTAAATTAAATAACTCATGATATCATCCAGGTCGGGATCTGAGGATTCTGTGAGTGTGTACCTATCAAATCAAATTGTACATGAGTTTTGATTACCAGGAAAAAAGACCGTAAATAAGTTTGTAAAGGACTGGGAAACTTACATTTTTAAATCATCTTCGCTAATCGCCTATAATTGAGGTTTACACTCATTAATTGAGTTTCAATGGCTGTTGTGTTAAAGTAAAAAATCACAACTGCACTATGTGATTGCGGATGTTGCTATGATCTCGGAAAACCTTTACGGATAATGCTAAACTCGCTTTTCCGATGTGTCACTTTCGGTTTTGACACACGACCATACCGCCAATAGGCCTATCCATCTCCTATTGGTACGTTACCCAATTATCCATAACCACCACGATTCTTGGTACCGGTACTTTTCTCAAGAACCAGTGTTAGCAAGAATCATCACTTATACAACACTAACACATCACTACTTACAGCTTATAGTTGGTGATGCATCTTTCTTACAGTCATGTTAACACTTTAACCGAAACACCGGTTTGTGAGACCGGATGGAAAATTGATTTTCCTGTAGTGGCAAAACTGCTGGACGTGCGTACCCCTTCCCATCAGTACCTTTGCCCCTCCTACTCTTCTACCTACCCCACCCAAAACTCAACGCCTTAACCTTCGTCTTCGATCACTTTCCGACTAGTACCTATTTTTCAAAAGATTTGTCTATTTCACATATGACATATCATATCCTATATTACTGGATCTGTTCGAAATGAAGAGCTTAAAGAGTCGACGGGATGTACTAATGCTGACATTTCTCCACAAATTGGTCAATGGAAAAATTTATGATAGCGAGATCTTATCGCTGTTATCTTTCCTTGTGCCTCGTCCCCCGTCCAGAGTCCGCGTTTTGTTGGCTCCCACATTCGCCCGGACTTGCCTGGGTGCCCAGTCTCCTGCCAATGTTTTGATGAGGCTTTATAATACATTACCCCAGGGTATTGATTTATTCAACTCGACCCTAGCCTTTTACAGAAATCAGTTGAATGATAATTTATTTTAAGAATAATTTCATAGTACCATGGCTGTTATCTCAATTCAATTTGTTGTGTTTCAATTTAATTTAAGTAGCTCATTTTCTGTCGTTACTGTTGTTTATGTAAAGTTTTATTTATTTAATATTGTGTTGTTGCCTGCATGATGAAGAAAAGACATTTTGACACGTGTTCACACAAAGTATGTACTGTATTATGAGAATTTATACTATGCTGCAATGTAATTGGACGTAAGTCTGTATTGTAGCATTTAAATAAATAAATAAATCTAAAGTCAATGATCAAATATAAAAATGCAAGGTGCGGCAAAAAAACCCGCTATTTTCTGTATCTATTTTCTGCAGTGCACAGGTTGTCTGAGAGCGGTGTGGTTAGGCTCCTTGGAAAGCCTAAACAATGCCATTATTTATGGTCATAGAGCAGTGGTCACCTGAGCCAAGAGTCGAATTAAAAAAGTATTGATTCAGTCATTGCAACTCAGTGGCAGTTCCGTGCATTCTTTTAATTAGGGCAACGTGGATTCCGTCAAGTAGCACAGTCATGTGGTGGGTTACCAACTTTAGAACAACGGCTTCTGCATTCAAAAAGAAGCTGACAAGCCGTCCAAAGTAGATCGGTCGCCAGACAACTAACATTCGATAGAGTTTAATGCTGCTATGGAAAACAGTCCCTTGTAGGCCCGCTCGAAAACAAGGATCTGCTTTGAACATGTCCGCTTGTTAACAAAAATTTTGAGGTTTGATCTTAATTCTTATACAGATTAATTTGTATTAATCTGTTTAATTATCATGACGGAAACTCTCCATGTCGACCTAATTTAAAGAATGCATGGAAATGCCGCTGAGTTGCAAATTAATTAATCATAACGTTTAAAACGACTCTTTAACAAACGCGCGTTGTTCAGGTGACCACTGCTCTATGACTACAGATAATAGCATCGTGTAAGCTTTCTAAAGAGCCCAACCACACCACCCTTAGACAACCTGTTGCTAAACAGTTTGCTGCAGAAAATAGATCAGTTTTTTTTTGCTGTACCCTGTATAATTGAGCGGAGCGAGCGAAGCTCTTATAAGTCGACTCTTATGCATTTCGTAATACGCAAACTCCTCCTAGACGGCTGAATCAATCGTTTTTAAATTTTGCATGGTGATAAAGACCATATCGGTGAGTGCCAACATCTATATGGCGTTAAATGGGCGGAATCCGCCCCACTGGGTCTCAAAGTTTCAATGTAATCCTTATGGAAGCAGTATTTGACACATAAACAAAGACATATGATCAGCTGTTGACTTTTGAATGCAGTATATAAAGAAATAGCTTATTGCATTATTCCACAGATATTAGAACAGAAACGGTATGGATCATAAATATAATCAAATGACGACACTAGCTTGAGGTCAGTGACGTAGGGAGTGGTGAAGGAAGTACTGTAGTAAAGGTGAGCAGTCTGGAGTGTGGAAACTGTTTATGACGATTAGATTTAGGTATCTGCATTCCTAAAATTCTATGGGAGGGGAGGAAAACGGGTCCACGACTTAGGAAGTGGTGAAGGAAGTAGTCAAGGTGAGCTGTCCGGAGTGTGGGAACTGTTTATGACGATTAGATTAAGGTATCTGCAATCCTAAAATGCTATGGGATGGGAGGGAAACAGGTCCCCGACGTAGGAAGTGGTGAAGGAAGTAGTCAAGGCGAGCTATCCGGAGTGTGGGAACTGTTTATGACGATTAGATTAAGGTATCTGCAATTCTAAAATGCTATGGAAAGGGAAGGAAACAGGTCCGTGACGTAGGAAGTGGTAAAGGAAGTAGTAAAGGCGAGTTTTTTCGGAGTTTGGGATCTGTTTATGACCAATAGATTAAGGTATTTGCAATCCAATAATGCTAAGGGAAGGGAGGTAAACAGGTCCGTGACGTAGGAAGTGGTGAAGGAAGTAGTAAAGGCGAGCAGTCCGGAGTGTGGGAACTGTTTATGACGATTAGATTAAGGGTTCTGCAATTCTAAAATGCTATGGGAAGGGAGGGAAACAGGTCCGAGACGTAAGAAGAGGTGAAGGAAGAAGTAAGGAGAGCAGTGTAGAGTGTGGGAACTGGAAACCGTTTGTAGCATTTAGATTAAATGTATCTGCAATGCTGAAATGCTATGAGAAGGGATGGAAGCATCCTTACGACATAGAAAATTGTGAAATAAGTAGTAAAGTATAGCAGTGCGGAGTGTGGGGATTGTGGCAATTAGATTAACGTATCTAAAATACTAAAATGCTATGGAAAGTGATGAAAACAGGTCTACGATGTAGGAAGTGGCTTAGGAAGTAGTAAAGTATGAGCATAGTGTGAGAAGAGAACCGTCTGTGGCAGTTAGATTAATGTATCTTTAATCCTTAAATGCTATGAGAAGGTGTTCAATATTGCAACCCATCTCATCTAGTCTGGATTAGTGATGGACCATCATATGTTTTTACATTTTACATATGCAGTTGTTTAATATAGTTCGGCCGCTTAGAAAAAGACCTGCGCGCTAATGCTAAACCAATGCTTGAGGAGGTCGCTTTCTAAGCGACCGAACTATAAATATAATTTAGTGTTGTGTTGTGTTTGTAAGAAAATAAAAGAGTTTATAACAATTTATTCTTTCATTAACTTTAATTTCACCAACAGAAGGGAAGGAAACAGGCCCCACGACCTATATATATATATATATAAAATTATACTTTTTACAACTTAGGATGTGATGGTGTTTTGCTCCAAAAGTGATGTAACACTAATTTCATAACTTTGTAGAGACTATACCTGATCAAGAAGAGTTTACAATGTTTACATCTCATTGCACATTGATTAATTATTTGACAGATTGGTGGTTCTTCTGATTCAAACATATAGTATAAGGTAAACAAAAAGGAAATAAAGAAGAAATTATAACAAAATAAAACAGTTGTATTAAACAAAAAATGTGTTTGCTATAGTTTAATAAGAATCATTGATTTTGGAATGATACATCAATAATGAAGGTTTTAATTGACATCGGTGTCAAAGTAACATTAGGCAAGTCTTGAGTCTCTGTTCTACTCAATGTCTCATAATTGTCGACTCTGTTTTCCTTTTTCTTCCAAACAAGACGAGAAACTTCATTCAACCACTGGTTAGCCCCCAATGATGTTTCTCGTATGGATTTAATTGAGAATGGCTTGAAAATTTCCTAAAAGAGACGAGAGAAATTAATTTATGATATTTAAACATACCTATTTACATTCTATACTGGATATGAATACCTATCTCGAGTATCTAAAGTATCGAAATAAAAACTATCTATCACAAACACACTCCACGAGCTATATTATTAGTAATCGGGCTCAATACAGCAATCAGGTTTTGGTGTGCAGATGTTGTTACTTTAATAGTAATAGTACTAACTAGCTCAATACTTGCTAAAATATTTTAGAGCAGGTGGATCAGGTACAATCATATTTTTAAGTTCCAATATAAATATAGTGGAGATTGTCCGTAGCATTGAGGATTACTTCCTTGATTTTAATAAAACGGTGAGCAACGACTTTATTGTAATAAACCTTTAGAGAATAAAACTTAGGTTTTATTAAGCAAAACTGAATACAAGAATTAAACAGAATAAATAAACAAATCTGACTAAAACATTAAGAATGTCAGCTGACATTTTGTACAGTACTTGGAATATCACCACATTCTTCCGCTCTAGTAAATTTTATACACATCGAATTTCTTAGGTAACACCTTTGGTCTGGTTGACCGACGTGGTGGATGAGGTTGATTGCAAGGAGCGCTGCTGGTTTGATGTTCATCATTTTCAGGAACACCATCTGACGTTGCTGGTGGTAAACATAAATCTGTATAGTTTTGAAGAAGCGGTTGTGACGAAGTAGTGTTCTGTTCCAGAAGGAGCGATTTTGACGAGGTAGTGTTCTGTTCCAACTGTTCATCACCGTCTTCGTTTTCATAAGTAAGATTTGTTGGATTTTGCATTACATTTCCTCTTGGTGCTAAATATCTTAAGGACACAATTGATTCTCTTCCTTCTTTATTGCGGACTAAAGAATATTTTGGGTTTGTCTCAATTACTTCAACCTCTTCGACCAGTGGGTCAAACTTACTGCCTCTTATGTGCTTCTTCATAAGAACTTTTCCAGGAATAGTCAGCCAAGTAGGGATAGTTTCTCCGTTGCTAGATCTTCTTTGATGTTTAAACATTCTTTCGTGCGGTGTACAATTTGTAGCTGTGCATAAGAGGGATCTGATGCAATGAAGGGCTTCATCTAAAACACTTTCCCACTGAGTTATTTTCATCCCTCTCGATTTCAATGCTAGCTGAACAGTATTCCATATTACTCCGTTGAATCGTTCAACTTGCCCATTTCCACGTGGGTTATATGGACTTGCACGACTTGTAGCTATTCCCAAATTATGTAAAAATGATTTTAGTTCTACCGACATAAAACCGCTACCCTGGTCTGTGTGTATATATGATGGTGTACCAAAAATACTGAAGACTTTGTGAAGTTGTTTGATAATAGTTCTTGAGCTCATATCAGGACAGGGGAGTGCAAAAGGATAACGTGAATATTCGTCAACTATAGTTAGAATATAGGTGTTATTTGTTACTGAAGGGATTGGCCCTTTAAAATCCATATTAAGCCTCTCAAATGGGGCCATAGCTTTGATGAGATGTCCACTAGAAGTTTTCAGGAATTTTGGTTTGATCTCTGCACATAGTGGACAACCTGCAGTCATTTTTCGCACATCTTCGACTGAGTAAGGAAGATTGTGGGTTCGGACCCAGTGCACCATTCGAGTAACGCCTGGATGACATAGTGACTTATGTAAGTCAATTAAACTTTGATTTGGCATCGAACTGCAGAGTCGAGTGAAGGCATCAGCGACTGTATTTTGAATACCAGGCCTGTAGACAGTGTCAAAACTAAAACAAGACAGTTCTAGCCTCCATCGTTGAAGTTTCTCATTCTTTATTTTGCTACTGTGTTTTTGATCAAAAATAAATGACACCGACCTTTGATCTGTCACAATCTTGAAATGCCGTCCAACTAAGAAATGTCTCCATTTCCTGACTGCCTCGACAATAGCTGCTGCTTCCTTTTCTATTATCGAGTGTCTCTTTTCACTGTCTGATAACGATCGTGAAAAAAAAGCAACTGGACGACCCATTTGACTAAGAGTCGCTGCAAGTGCATTCTGTGATGCATCAGTTTCTACTACGAATGGGATAGATTCATCAATAGTATTAATAGCAGACTGAGCTATCTCTTGTTTCAGTTTTTCATAGTCAGAAACAACTTCTGGAGGAATTGGGAATGTTTTGCATTTAACTAATCTGTGTACTTTTTCAGAAAATTGAGGGATCCATCTTGAATAGTGAGCTAGCATTCCAACTGCACGCCTTAATAAATCAAAATTACTAGGAACAGGTAAGTTCAGAAGGGGTTCAAGTCTTTCAGGATCCGGTTTAATAGTGTTATTTTCAATTAGGTATCCCAGAAGTCTGATTGATCTTTGGGAGTATGAACATTTGTCTTGATTCAGAGTCAGCCCGTACTTGTTGGCTGCTGCCAAGAAATTTGCAAGATTTCTATCATGATCTTCTTGATCTTTACCACAAACCGTCAAATCATCTAGATAAGCAAAAACCCCTTCTAACTTTTCTTTACTGATTATACCATTAATTACACGCTGGAAACAAGCAACTCCATTGGTAACTCCAAAAGGTATTCTGTTGAAATGATATAGTTTTCCACCTGCTTCGAAGCCAGTGTATTTTTTCTCATTTTCACAAATAGGGATTTGATGGTAAGCGCTTCGGAGGTCAACTGTACTAAATACCTCATACTTAGAAATTTTTGAAACAAGATCTTCAATATTTGGTAAAGGATAAGCATCAAGGTTAGTGAAACGGTTAATAGTTTGAGAGTAATCAATGACTAACCGTCTTTTGTGATTCTCATTTTTGGTAACCAGGACTTGAGCCCTCCAAGGAGAATTGCTCTCTTCAATTATTCCTTCAGACAACAATTTACCTATTTCATTTTCTATAAATCTTGTTTCATCAAGGGAGAACCTTCGAGATTTTATTTTTATTGGGTGACAATCTGGTGAAAGATTAGCAAATAGTTCAGGAGGTTCAACAATAGCTGTAGGCAAACTGCAAGGGCCCAAAGTTAGTGCTGGCTTAGAACCGCCAAATGATATGCATAGATTTGTATACTTAGAGAGAATATCATGCCCAATTATCATGTCTGCACAGAGATTAGGCAAAACTGAAACCTTAGTTTTTATATGTTGATGCCCTAAAAGCTCAATATCAACGAAGCAGTGCCCACAGATACGGGATTGTAAGTCTACAGATGCCATAGAAATCTGGCCTCCTCCAGGAACAACTAAAAACTTTGTTTTGTCAACGAATGTTTTATTTATGAATGTTTCAGAGCTACCAGTATCTATTAGAGCATCAGCGACAACATTGTTAATCTTAACTGTAACTACAGACTTTGATAAACATCGAGGAGCGGCAGCCAGCAGTCCAGACTCATGACTTTTCTCCATGGCTGAAAGATTAGAAGATTTACCTGATTTTTTACGACGACAAACAATTGAGAAATGACCTTTTATCCCACAGTTTCGACAATCAGCATCCCTGGCTGGACAGACATTTCGAGGATGTTTGGCTTTCCCACAGAAGAAGCATTTTATTGTCCCTGAGGCAGCCAGTGATGATTCCTTATAACATTCTTCTTGATTCATCTCTTGATTTAAAGTACTGCATTGATTTTGATGAGTTTGTTGGTAGATTTCTGAGTGTTTCTGAGCTGATTCTAGAGCTCTTGCTTGAGCAACGGCATCCTCTAATTTCAGAGTATTGTTCTCTAGTAGTCTTTGACGTATTTGAGGAGATAATAGCCCAGTGATGAATGAGTCTCTAATGTAATCGTTTTTACTTTCTTCTGCATTAACATTACGAAAATTACAATCTTTACTCAAAAGTTTCAGTTTTTGTAAGAATTGATCTACAGACTCCCCAGGTTGTTGCTTGGAAATAGCTAATATATGCCTTGAATAAACTTCATTTTGAGGTTTCACATAGAGGGTCTGTAAAACCTTCACAGCATCTTCATAGGTCTTTGCTTCTGAAATAAATTCATATACGTTGTGACTAATGTAATTTATGAGTAGTTTTAACTTTTCTTCGTCACTTACTTTATCAACAGAGGATACAAAATTTTCAAAAGTCCTCAACCAATGTTTGAATTCAAATGCTGCTTTGGTTGTATCAGGTAGACATTCAAATCTTTCTGGTCTTAACAGTTTATCCATTTCTTTCTCTAGTATTAAGTGATTGAATAGAATGGTTTATAGGAAGCCTATAGATACTGATTCTCAGACTAATTATGATAATATTTGCTTAATAAATTGTAATAAACCTTTAGAGAATAAAACTTAGGTTTTATTAAGCAAAACTGAATACAAGAATTAAACAGAATAAATAAACAAATCTGACTAAAACATTAAGAATGTCAGCTGACATTTTGTACAGTACTTGGAATATCACACCATACAATATTTTTAATGTGCAGCCTTAAATAAATAAATAAATATTTCTTTATTGTCACATAACATTTTTTGATTGTAGCATAGCTAAAAAACAGGCGACATTTTCAAATTATGTAATAATAACATTAAAAAGTAAATATAAATATGAATAGCTAGAATTAAAGATTAATCTAATAATTATAAACCATCCACAATGTCTTAGAATAGAAATAAATTACAATAAAAGGAGATTAAATGGAAAGTTGAAGATTAAAATAATTACAGAATCGAGCTGTCCATTAAAAATTCATTAGTGCTGTAATAAGTTTTACCTAGTAAAAAGTTGGCAAGGCTGCTTTTAAAAGAATTAGTATTTATTAATATTTTTAATTTTGGGTCTACTTAATTTATTTAAAAAAAATTTCCCCATGTAGGAAGGTGTTTTTTCAACAAGTTTAAGATTGTGTCTAGGATACTGAAAATTATTTTTGAATCTCATATTATACGAATGCTCAAAGTTTCCCCTGCAAAATTGAGGGTTGTACAGTTAGCAAGGTTTTATAAATAATCAAATTTGGAACTGACATTATATTTAACTGTTTATAAATTGGTTTACATGAAGCTTTCCATGGTGAAAAAGTTATGATTCGCAAAAACCTTTTTTGGACTTTGAAAATTCTATTTATATCTGTTGAGTAGCCCCAAAATTCAATACCATATTGAAGTATGGAGTAATAAGCGTAATACATCATCACTGGTTTTTAAGTCTATTGTATCCCTTAAACATAAAATTTGGAAACAATCAGAGTTGAGTTTGCCCAAAACATATTCAACACACCTATCCCACGCCAAATGTTTGTCAATGTACAGGCCTAAAAATTTAACATTTTCATCAGTTGAAAGCTGTGTGAAAGCATTTACATTTTGTCTATTCTGGGGTGTAAAAAATCTAACCAATTGAGTTTTATCTTGATTCATTTTCAATCCATTTTTATCAAACCAGTTCCCTAGCTCATCAAGACACTCAGTAATTTTGACAACTAATTCCTCATAATTTTTTGATTTGACAACTGCAGTAGTGTCATCTGCATAAAGAATAAGACTATTGGAAACATTTTTAGGCAAATCATTTATGTATGTAAGAAACAGAAGTGGTCCGAGAATGGACCCTTGAGGCGCCCCGAATTTAATTTCCTCCCAATTAGATTTTATTTCTTGATTATTTTTAGTTATTTTTGTCCTTTGGAAGCGAGCATTTAAGTAGGATCCAAGCCAAGATATCGATTTAGTAGAAAATTTATATAATGCTAATTTCATTAGAAGAATGTTGTGGTTAACACAATCAAATGCCTTGGACAAGTCACAGAACACACCCATTGTGCTCTGCGACCCATCCAAGGCCCATGCCACCTCATCGATGAACTCAGTCTTTAAAGCTGTATGAAGTTAAAATATTATTCATGGACCACTTTACACATTTTAAAGTAGGTTTAGCTGCCGAATCAATTTGCCAAGTACAGCTGTGGAAATGCCGGGCGAAGCCCTACTCACTACGCAATCAATAATTTGGTTGGGATTAAAAAAATTATTTTGAAATGTTTATGTTTTCTACTACTATCTGATGGTTTGAGTTGATTATGGACACTTTTTTAATCCAAATAATTTTTTTTAAGTTTTATGACTATAATTAATTGTTGCAGCGTATCTCCAACGCTTGATAAGGACTGCATTGCTCTATATATATACGTCTAAACGATTGTAAATAAAAAAAAAAATTATTTTTACCAAACTGTTAAAAAGTGTTAATGAAATAATAAAAATCATGATAAGAACAATATGACTTCTTTTTATTGCCAAAACACAAAACATACTTATCTAATCAAGATACAAAAAAACATATTAAAAGTGTCTATGCTGGTTTACTTTAGTTGAAAACTTATTAAAAAAAACTTTCATGGTAAAAAATAATATTACTTCTTTGCCATTATAAGAAAAAATTAAAAAGACTTATCCTACTATCTATAATATTAAAACGTGATAGTGGTTTTTTTATTTCACGATCCTTAATCAACCACTTGACAGATTTTCATGATTTTTGTGTTGAAAGAAAGATAATTTTGAGAACTAGGGAATGTCGAAGACATAATTTTAGTTTAGGGTTTCAGTTTTTTGGAAATTAAGTTTTAAATTTTAAAAAGTCTAGCAGCCGACGCTAACATTCTACTCTAGCTTTTGGTATAATAACAGTTGTAAACATTCTGTGTTTTTCGACACAAATTCAGCTTTTGGATGAAAATGAAATGACATATGTAGAATTGACTTATTTATACCATATGTGTAATGCTATAACCGTTCATACGTTTATTTAATCGGTAAGAGGATGAGAGTTTATTTAAATATACATAGTAAAATAATAGATGTTCTAATTTATTTTTTTGAACAGTCTTTAAAATATTTTAGTTTGTTTTTGTGAAATATAATTTGTTATAACTAACAGCTGGTTGAATAAAAAATATTCTATAGATTTATGAGGTTAGTTTATTTACTCTGAGATTTTGTCATTGATTATAGGAAATAAGTAAGATTCTATAACCATTGCTGTATACGAATCGAAGTTCACGAATCTTCAAAAGAAAGCTTATGAAAATTATTTTACTAGCCTATTCGACTTTTTGAGGAAAGGTTGGGGAAATAACAATGATCACATGTTTTAACTCATCTTGGAAGCTTTTTCTTTACTATCAATTTTGAACTGCTTAAACTATAATTGCCTGAATTAGTAATAGACACAATATATATATATTAATGGACTACTCGATTCCCATACGTAGGACGGGCCAACAGCTCGTAGCACAACAAAATTAAAACATACTGAAATTGTCCGTGTTGGTATATTTCTAATGTTGTATGGTACTCCTCAAAGCATTTATGGAGGACTAAAGTTATAAATGTAGCCATTCTCAGAGTCAGAGATTACATAAATCGTCAAGCCAAACTAGTATAGGCTTGTCTAGATTGTAGACTTTAAACTTAATCTTCTCCTTGAATGATATGGTACTCTCATCAACGGATATGTTTGAGCTCGGGTTATAAAAGGCCTGACACATAGCTTTTACATGATTGACTATAAAAACCTTATTTTTAGATCTCGGTCAGTCCACTCCTTCATGACTGAAGTGCAAATTCAAAAAAATCAACAAAAATCTGTCTTTGTCAATATAACATCTGCAAAGAATGGCATGTAATTGACCTATATTTTGTAGAAAAATAATCGGTCAAATCAGGCTGTGGATAGCTCATTGTCCCATTCAAGGCGCTGTTCCATTGCACATATCTTCTTCTTCTTCTGTCCCTCAAATTTCTTACTGTTCTTTTATCCTTTTTGTCTGTCCTCTTGGCCTTTCTTCAGTTTTGTCGATTACTTCATCTTTATCTTGTGACATAGGAATAGGCTCACCAGAATGAACACTGCTAACATTTGGTACATTAGGCCTACTCATAACCTTTTCCTTAGGTTTGTTACAGTCCTTCCTTTTCTGTGTTACGTCCTTCGTCCTGATGTGAATGCATAGGCCTATCCCCAACTTCATTGTTTGATTCATTTTCATCATCCGACATTATTGTAGGCCTAACACAACCAACAATACTAACATCTTGTCCATGATCTAGATTCAGTTCCTTAGATTTGTTACACTCCTCCGTCTTAAGTAAAGCTATCGCCAGAAGGCCCAGGCATATCCTAAACTTCATTGTTTTCATAACATTTAGTTTCAACATAAGGTGTACTAGCACGAAAGCTACTTTGCTCATAATGTACATTCATAGTCAGAGGTGTAGTTGCAAATTTTCCAGTGTGGGAACTCTCGTCATTTTCATAGAAAACACAGGTCGCTTATCAATATATAGGTTCTTTGGAAAAAACATAGTGGCAAAGCCGTTCACACCCGTTCCCGCACACCTACGCCACTGCATATATGCAAGGTATAAAACATTATGATCAAGACTATATATAGTCTTGATCATAATGTTTAATACCTTGCAGCACTTCAATACTGCTTATATCATCGTTAGCTTCAGATACTGCACCTAAATACACTCATTGTCTGATTCTTCAGAGTTGTCAGAAAGCTGAACAGTGTCGTCTCTTTCAGAAATACTATGATTCAGTAATTCTATGAAGTCTTCTTCAAAATTTGGTTAATTCATACTAAACGTCATTTTTTTATAAAAACTACAACACATTCTAGTGTACAGAATAGATTCCACTAAACCTATTTCACTGAATAGATGTACTTCACTCAAGAACACGTACATAGATTGTCTTCCATTGTCTGCGCACGCTGACTCAGCCGGCTGGTTTTGTAAACAGATGTTACGAGTCAGTGATGCCAACCCACCAATCAGAAATTCATAAAAAGTTATCAAAACAATAATATTGATAAACGGCCTAAGGTAACTGTTGATGGGGAAGAAGAACTTTAAAATACCTAAATAACGTTTCCATGTTTTGGCGTATATATACATTGTACACTAGTGACCTTCAGATTGATTTGCGTGTATATACAGCCAACACTCGCAACTGAATAGCGTCGTTGGTGTGTATATATACAGCCAACGCTCGGGAAGGGTTAAGTCCCTGTGTTTTTCAGGATACAGCCCAGAACAATTTTCGCAGCTAAGGAAACTGATGTACCTAACCCTTATGTAAAGAATTTGTGCCATAAAACACAGTTGTATTTTGGCAGTGTAGTTTGGCAGTTAGAAAAACACCTCTACAACCACCAGTTGACTAATCATTGTAATTTTAATAATATAAGCTCTTCTGACACGTTATAAAATCTAATCTAAAATATAATTCACTCAGGAAACAGACAGAAGACATTGGTGAAGACCACAATGGCTCCTAATATCTTGGTGGAGTGAGAGGTGGCAATTACCTGCAAGTTGACAATCACAGGGTCAGCTGCACTCTTGTCATCGTCTTTCTCCAGAACGTGTTCCAGACGCAGCAGGAATGTTGTGCCTTTCCATGGCTCCAGGGTAAGAATTTGAACATTGTCTGGTAAAGCTTTCTGCAGACCTGAGAACTTTCACCAACTTTATTATTTCTGCTACTTGAAAATGTTACATTATGTAATTCTTATTGTGATCTATGATAAATTCGATAGAAGCCAATACTGAAAGAAGCATATAGTCAGAGGTGTAGTTGCAAATTTTCCAGTGTGGGAACTCTCGTCATTTTCATAGAAAACACAGGTCGCTTATCAATATATAGGTTCTTTGGAAAAAACATAGTGAGATAAACCGATGTTAGTTTTTGTTTTGAAACCCTTTGGTTAAACAAAGTTTTGGATTACTGATTTTTTTATTTTCAAATAGTCAAAGCTCCACTGTACCTCTGTTACAGATTAGTTATCTTACTTCCATGTTGTAGTTGGTTCTCCACTGGTCAAAGGTAAGACGTGTGGGCGTAAGGAAGGTCCAAGCGGCCAGTACTCTCTCCTGGACAAGTCTTCTCTCCTCCACTGTCTGTGACTGTGAAGGACCTCCGATCACCAAATGAGTCCCTCGTGCCACCAATCCTCGGCCAAACGCCTCTTCGTTCAACGCCTCACCCACACCAAATGCATCATCATGAAGCATCCTTCGGTGCAACTGTTAAACATCAGTTAGATTTGGATTAACATAGCCCAGCCTAATTTGAGGTTTAAAACATTTTAGATGAAATTTATTTCAGCTTGAGGCATTAATTTATCACCTTCTATAAGCTATGTGAAACTGGGATTAGTTAATTATAGATAGTGTATCTAGATAAAATGTATAAAATTTAAGAGTGGGCAGTATCAGTCGGCCATATTGGATAGGAGTCCCATAAGAGCAATGTAATCTTTTGAACCAAATAGTGCCGTTATTTTTTAACATAGAATTGTGTTTGATGAGTCATTGGAAAGAAAATACAATTTTACAGGGTTTTGCTTTTAATTTTTTTAATTAAAGAAATATTTCAATAATTATAGCAAGAAAACGCTTGTTAAAGTTTACAATTTTATAGAGGTTTTTTAAAAGGAATATTTGAAATTCAAAAAAGCAAAACCCGTATAGCATTTAATTAATTATCAAATAACATTTGTTTCATGAAGAACCGACCTAAAACTGCACTCGTGATATGGTTAAAAAAAATGCAGGTTTTTGCTGCCTATCACGGTGGCAGCTCGGCGTAGTGGTTTGGCAGTTTGCCGCGAGATAGCAGCACGCTCGCGCATTTGGCGGGAACTCAAATCAGGTTGTGGTTCTACATTCATGTATCGCGCTGCTAATTTTATAACTTTTTTAATTAATGTGAAAAAAATTATTGTTATGATTATTGTTGTCACAATTATTGTTATTGAAAGAAAGGAAATGAACTGGGAACGGTGAGAAATTATGTAGAAGGCGGAAGTGGGGCGGGGGCGGCGCCAGGCTAGGATTTTTTTTTACTATGTTGTTGTCAAGCATGGTTAGGGGCGGAAGGAAGGTGAAGGTGAAGGGGGAGGTATGGCCCGAGAGGATTAGGCGCAGTGTCTTTAGAAGTGTTGTTTAGTGCTAATAATGAACTATGAATTCGTTTAAATATATTTCTACAAAGTATGCGGGTGGTGAGGTGGCAAGTTATGAACAGAGAGTTGAGTTAAATCTGCTAGGCCCATCAAAACCCGATTTTGTTACTATAAAATGTCAAAAATCCTGTAAAAGTAGGAAAGGATTTATGTTTATACTGTTCAATTATGCCTTAGATAATGCCCAAATGGGACCTAATGAGTCCTAACTCGCCAGGTTTATCCTGAAGTTACTTAGGCTGGGCGTTGCATGGAAAATGTCCAGAATACAGTGGTGAAGGTGTCGATGACAACTTTACTCTGACATGTTTTGAATATGATCAATTCCACGAAATAGCAAAGAAATCATTTGAGATTGACAACTTCAGTGCATCTCGAGCAGAAAACATCTCACAAGAAGAAAGGACCCGAAACAAAGAAATCAAAATCAAAACAGCACATATAGACAATGTTCCAATCAAAGAAAAAGTGTTAGAGAAGGAATGCAAACTCCTGGAGGCTGAGAATATGGTTCAACACTCTGAGAAACATTCTGACCTTCTCACCAGTGTCCAGATGGTTCGAGTGGTTAGAGAGAGTACGGAAGAGCCTAATAAAGAAAATGGGATAGTTGACGATAAGCCGATAGAAACTTCCAAAATACTCAAAGTCTTAAGAGTAGCTATGCTGGAATCTAGTGTCGAAATCGAGAACAGGATCGTTGCGATAACTGACAAAAGGAAGAAAGTGAAAACAGAAGAAAAACAAATTAAAGCCGAACCTCTATGGGATGTGAAGAAAACTGAGACCGATTCAAAATTTATAATTAATAAGTAACGGATGTGGCATGCAGTTTGACAATTTGATAAATATGGATCAAATTTGATAATTGTGGTATTTGCAATTTGACAACAACGGAGGTTGTTTGTGGCCTCTGGGACCTCTAACAAAAAAGTAATCGGTCCCGGGTCTAGGTCTTACCATGAGACCTACGGTAATCTATACTTATTTAATACGCAAGCAGATTTTTTGTGACAATTACTCCTCCGAAACTACTGAACTGATTGTCATGTTTTTGGTGTCATTGGAAAGAGCGTAGCGTGAAGTTGTGCAGGAAACTTTCTTTTTAGGGAAATAATGAGAGAGTGAGGCCCTGGAGCACTTTAAAGTTTCGTATTTCCCCATAAGGATAACATAGGAGATAATTTTTATTTACAGAAACATATGTTTGTTATTTGAACATAGTCAAAGTCTACTACATAATAATTGCTGTGTATTATGACTGTTGATGTATACTACATTTAAATTTAAGGATTGTATACCTTAATGTTTATTCATAATGGATCTTACTACTTTATTTTAATTCTGGGAATAGTAAAATTTAGTTGAGATTAAGTTACCATGATTTAGAAAACTTTGCTATAATTGAGCGGAGCGAGCGAAGCGAGCGAAGCTCTTTGGGATCAACTTAAATGCAAACAATATAACACCATCACTCAATAACGGCTGAACACATTTCAGCCAAACTTAACAAGACTACTTAGACTAATAATGAGATGGTTTGTAAACAAACAAATTTCAATTAGATAATGCTAATGCAATTTAAAACGAACTTAAAATTTAAAATTTTTAACATTGGGCTTATGGGACTAAAGTAGCTATGACAGTTTTTTTTGTTTACAAGAAAAATGTAAACAAGAGAATCATAAGGTATTTCTGAACTTTCTATACTTTTCTTTTAAACGATTTTAAACCATTCCTATGATTTTAATAAACAAGAAAATGCCGTTAAAACATTTTTTTAAGGCCCGGAATTCACTGCAAATCGAGAAAATATACTGAACTACTTTCTCAATGCGTGGAGCATAAACAAGGAGCGGAGGGATACGGACCGGTGACTACTTTCTTGGGAACCTATTTGTGTTGCCAGCTGATTAGAAACAGCCAATGTTAGAAATCAGGATTTAATAAGCGATATATCGAACCGCATCGAAATCGGTATTTAATCCGATAATACCTCATAGGTTATATTATGTTTAATTACATCGACGGTACAGTAAGTTATTACACTTATTGATAAAACGCAGATTGATTACTGATTTAGGCATGTGGGGAGGTAGGTCGGGGTTTATGAGTATTCGTGACTACATTAAGTGTTTTGAAGTAAGGTTAGATTAGGAAGGTATAGTGTAGGTTATAGGTAGGCGATCGGGTTGTTTATTTGTGTTGCACCATATAATTTTTTAACTTTTGGAATGGAATAGTTGGTTAAGGTTAAACGGGGAAACGATTTCAAAAATGCTTGCATATGGTCTTAACTTAACAAACCATCTACAGTATTCTAGCTTTGACTTTATATAAAGTCAATGATTCTAGCAAATTATTACATACTGACCAAAAGAAAATAGAACATTTGGATTTGTACCTTTGACCATAGCAAAACTAACATATAATTATGGAATGTGAAAAGTTGTATATCATTATATACTATTCTGTAATATTAATAATTGTTCGGCAAATCCTCATTTTAATGGCTCTGCTGAAAATGGAATCTGCATTTTGTGAAACAGTAATTTGGTAACAATTCAGTTATTTCAAATGTTGATAACAGTAGCCCATCCTAAACAAATACTGTTATTTGATTGCCAAGCCACGGACTATACATACGTCCAGTTACAACCGTTGATAAGTAAACCTGGGCTTATAGAAGTACACTTTTAACCACGGTATGGATAATTGTCTAGGCCTGTCCAGAAGTAGGCTACTAATTTCTAATTATATTATCTACATTGTATATTTAAGGCATGTCTTCCCTACTTATTATATTATTCTGTTTTCACTTAAATCAGCTGAATGCGATGTTTACTTATTACTTATGTTTATGGTTTAGGCCTACATTTCAGCCATTTTATGTTGCACGGTTGAATTTAAATGTCAAATTTCCCCTCCTGTTGTTATACTTTAATACTCGTTTTTTTATAGTTACTGTTTTTTATATACAATACTTTAACCGATTGTAAGGGTGAAAAATGTAGCCCAATGTTTTTTTGTTGTAGGCTACAGTTGCATTTGAATGTTAAATTACATTTCTCATTTTTATACTTTACTTTTTGGATGTTAATATCAGATTCCAACTACTGTAATATTTTCCTGGTCAAAACTACCATAATGCACTTCTCGAAGAGGTAAATTTGAGTTATTATAATTTTAATCTTTAAAACCAGCATTAGTAAATAAATCTATTGACCTTTTTACATTTAGTTACTTATACAAATATCAAATCACGTTTGTTCCGCTCAACTGGCTTTCACCTCTCTGAAAGCAACCCTAGTAATCTGTATTTAAAATCACAAATCTTTGACATTATTTATTTTAAACAAAACAGATGATCAACAAATCAAACAAATCATCTACTTCAAGTGAATAATGTTGTTACACAAAAATAGGTTACACAACCAATAACTTGATTCTTTTTTACTTGTGGGTGTATTTTGAGTTTGCAGTTATGAAATCACCAAGCCAAGTAACTTCAATTAAATATCAGCACTGTTCTTACCCAGACCAATTTCCAGTCATGAGCAACTATATTATGTTGTTTTAAGTAAGGCTATGTCTTATAATGGGTTACACATATTCATTATTGGTCATTTTAACGAGGGTTAATCTTCCTGAAGGTAACTTCAAGACTAAAATCGTAGTATTCATGGAAGTGCTTTTATGGTTAAAATATTGTTTTTTTAGTGTTTATTTTTAAAAGTATTTCTTCAAGCAGCATCTTTATGACCCTCAAAATATGCCACATAGCAGGTTCTACATAGGCCTATTGGTTTGATATGATAAAAAGTTTTGTTACATGTATTTTTAAAAATCTTTAAAAATAACTACCCTATAACATACTTGAACACTTATTAATTTACTAAATAAAATACAAATACAGCTAGAAAATGGTTGGACTGCTTCTCTTCTATGGATTTATTATTACTGTTTTTAATTTTTGACGTTGAGCCAACATATAAGTAACACGATGAATTTGTTTTCTAAATTCATATGTAATTTTGTGGGGCATTGAGCCGCACAGGTTCACTAGTAGCTTTAAATTCGCTAAAACAGTCACAATGTATTTTAAAGTCTTCTATATATAAATTATAAAGCTTTTTACAGCTTTCCAACATAAAAACAAAATGACCATTATAAACAGTATTGAATGCTGACCATGAGCTCAATATCGCCATTGTGCATGCTGGTGCCACCCTGGGAGCGGTCTGTGATGATGGAGAACCTCGTAAGAGGGTCTTGCACACTGATCCTAGTGTTGACTGGGTAGTAGTTGCCGGCTAAAGGCTCCTCCAGCTTTACTGTGTATGTCGGTCTCTCGTCCATCACCCTCCGCAGCATCTCTCGGCCATTGGAGTCTGTGTAGAAGGTGGAGTTGGTGTCCATCCCGTACACACTGTACTTGGTCACAACCTCCTTGCCACGTTTGTCACTGACACAAACAACGGACTCAGAACTTGTTGTATTGTGAATAGAGTTATGCCATCAGTCTGAATTCTATGTGGAGTTTGTCTAGAAAGAATATTCTTTTCTAAAGATTTCTAAGACTGAAATTGAAAAAATATCACTTTAGTTCAACCAACTAAATAAGTTTTGGATAATAGTACTGTAGTACTAGATAACAGTTTCTATGATTAATAATTAGATGTGCAGGAAGAATATTCCACGGAACTTTTAGCTGTTTTGTGGACATTTGGACCACTATAAAAAAGGTAGTAAATTCCCCTTGGTAAACAAATTTAAATTTTCTGACTATAGTGGGCATCCATATATATTTTGCCACATCTATAAGCCTAATGGATACTGTTCTGGAGCCATCAAACTATCAAGTAAATCATGCCAAGCTTTAGGTGATGTTAACATGCCACCTATGGTAATAAGCTTCTTTTCTAAAGGGAGAAATGTGTTAAACAACAAACAACTAATCTTGGTGAGTAAACAAGCTAAGCATCTTACTCTGGTCAACTGCAACCTTGCAATTTACCATACAATACTCCTACTCCCATAAGGTTGTCTACGTTAAATATTAGTTGATATATACAGAGTGTTTCAAACTCTCTCCTGAAACTCCGTGGTCAAACTCCTTATGTGAAAACAAAAAATATCATACAAACATACATATGCCCTATTTCGCTTCGTTTTCCGTCCATCAGTGTGAATATATTTTTTACATAACATCCCATAACTCTTGAACCACTTGAGGTACCAGCTTCAAGAATGACAGAATGATAGAATGATATTTATTGGCACAAAACGTACAGAATATTACAGAATGTATGTACAGGTGCTTCGTCATAAATAAAATTGTCCTTAAAAAATACAAGTCGTCTCTTTCCTTCTAGGTTAAATACATTTTAAAACCGTTAACAAAAAATAGACTATGTTTATAAATACTAATAAAATTCAACAGTTTAATATACCAAAGGGAAAATTCAACAGTAATTATAACAGAGGACAAAACTAAGCTTACAACTAATTAACATCATCTTAATTTAAATAAACAATATAAAACATTTAAGTATCAACAAGGTTTTAACGCAGATTTTTGTTCAGTCAAAGCTATGGTAAGTAGGCATCCAAGACTATCATATCACATTTCAGAATCATTCAAAATGTCGTTAACTTTGTAATAGGCCTTTCTAATCAACAAGCTTTTCACCTTCTCTGAAAATTGTGTTGGGTTGAGGGTGTACCTCTTCATAGGGTTAGGCAATTTATTATAAAGTTTCATTCCCATAGAGTAAATGCTTTTCTCTAAAGTTGTTGTGGAATGATGAGGGTACACAAGTAAGTTTTTGTTTCTTGTACTATAACTGTGGCTGGTTTTTTCTTGAGAGTACCACAATAAATTGTTTCTGAAGTGACAAAGTACCTCGTGGATGTACATACTTGGTACTGTCATTAATTTAAAACTTTTAAAAATACCTTTACATGAGGTTCTGGGTTTTTTTAATGTCCTAATTCTTAGAATTTTTTTCTGTGCTTTTAAAATATTACTTACTAATTCTGATGAGTCCCATAACATTTTTCCATATTTTACTAATGGGTATAAATAGCCATAGTATAAAGTTAATTTTGTCTTCATACTGGTACAGTGGGTGAGGCAACTCATGTTGAAGCATATTGAATTTAATCATTTACCTAACTGCATTATGTGTTCTTGCCATTTACGATTTTCATCACAGATCACATCTAAATAATTTTACAGATCTCTGGCTTTCTATATACAGTAATAATGGTTCCTATTGCTAGCCTTAGTACACCCTCTCTATTTTGAGTATTTCTAAAATGTATTATATTGGTTTTTTGGCAGCATTTAACAAAAGCCCATTTACCAATGCTCTAATTATTTTATAGTAGTTTCTTATGTAGTTTTCAACTCCTTTAAGCACATTTTATTTATTACAGCTGTAGTGTCATCTGCAAACATTACTATCTCAAACTTTGTACGTGTATGATGACTAATAGGAACTCATTTTTCTCAATGCAGTAGGTTTCTACTTTGTATAATTTCAAAATTGCAGCCATTTTTATTAAAAGCATAATAACTCATACCTCATAGGATTTATAAATACATCCGCCGCAGCAAACATAAGTAACGTAGGTTTACACGTTTGTACCAAAGTTCATCGAAATCGGATCATTTTTGCTCGAATTATCGTGCTAATGGACACATATATATGTTTATGAATTTGAACGGATGGTGTTTTTAGCTTCTAGGGACATCAAAATGAAAAAGTAAATCAGTCCTGATGGGTCCAAGTCTTACCATGAAACCTACGGTAATATCCTATTGCCTATATGGGAAATTCGCTAATATTCTCTATATGGGAAATTCGCTAAAAGGTTACAAATGACAGAAAGGATGGAAACTTAATTCATTTGACAGATATGTAAAATTTGTATAGGGTCATAACACAAAAAAACAAAAAAAATCATGTTTATAAAGGTCTGCTTATTTATTAAATTTTCCTAAATTAAATTTGTAGTTTTAGCTTCAGAAAATTTATTTTTCTCTGTTACTTGTGTTATAACCCTATAAAAGTTGTACATTTCGGGAAAGTGAATTAAATTTTCATCATTTTTGTCATTTGTAACTTTTTATAAATCTTATTGCTTTGAAAAATAAAAATGGCTGCAATTTTGAAATCATAAAAGTAGAAACTTGATACTATGCAAAAACATAGTTTCTATTAGTCATTGTACACATACCAAGTTTTTAAGTTAGTGCCTCAATCGGTTCCAAAGCTATGGGAAGTTATGCAAAAAGTACGTACACACTAACAGACAGACAACAAAGCGAGATAGGGCATATGTTTATATAATATTTTTTGTTTGTTACCTAAAGCCCTGTACACACCAGAGAGATACTTTATCGCTGGAGTGGCGCGATACTATTCCTAGAATTTCATCTGCGATACTTGGGTGATAATATCGCAGCGGAAACAAGTGCTTCCACACCAGAGCGGGAACGGGATGCGCAGGAAAGCCAGTACACCTCAATAAACAATAAAATAGCTAAATTATATGAACACAAAACATAATTACGTAGGCTTGGCTCATTAAATATTTTACAGTACCTATATCTTCGAAGAACGGTTTGGGTTTGGTCCTAGTGATTTTTGGTCAAAGTGGTTGGTTTGTCAAAGTGATTTTTGGGACCAGCAAAACTTTTGATACTTACCAGAAGTATTCAGTGTTTTTCCGGTGTCTTCCCAGATCTTGTCCTTCTTCCTTATGTTCTTATAATCCTTGTGATTCAAATCATAGTGCACCGGTTATGTATAAACAACTTCAAGTAAATGTTTGGTGATACACGACATGTTGTTGTTTTTAAACGTGCAGAGAACAGACAAAACGACAAAACTGAGTAGTTCCTAGTTTGGCCACATTGGTATCGCCGTGATACAGCACTGCAAACAGTGCATGCAGCGTTACCGCGATACTATCGCTAAGGTATCGCATTTGTCTTGGTATCGCATATCGCGGTTCGCTATGGTGTGTGCGGCTCCATAAGCCGCCATGGTATCGCACGGACCACTGGTATCGCAAGAGAATTTCCAAGAAAAAGTATTGCGCCCGCTCCAGTATCGCTCTGGTGTGTGCAGGGCTTAGGAACATGCCCAAGGAGTTTCGGGAGAGAGTTTCGCCCGAAGGATACCAACACCCTGTATAGGATCATTGATAAAATGGACTCATAATGGTAAACCGAATGGTAACCTTTAGGAAGACCAAGGGTGGAGGGATCAAGTGCTGAAGGATGTAAGAAGGTTAGGAACAAGAGAGGAAATGACAGAAGATAGAGAAGAATGGAGGGGTATTATTGGCAAGGCTAAAAAGCATCTTGGGTTTACATGGCCACAGCAGTAAGTATATACGATAAATTTTTTATATAATTTATTATATACTTACTTACCATGCGATGCACATTTTTAAAAGCATTACATTTAACTTATAGATGTACTTTTATTATTTATCCATGTGTGCTCAGTGCTCACCTCGTAGGGATAGGTCCCACCATCCAGATGAACTCCAAGTGGTTCTCTCCCTTGTATGCTCGGATCACCTGGCTGACCCAGCTAGAGAACTGCTGATGCAATTCTTCTACGATCTCCCCTATATATGGCAGACAAAACTTAAGTCAGTGGATGAAAGTAACACAAAAAGGTTATTGATTTTAAATTATATGTGCCCTATTGTATGATACAATTTTATCAAAGAGGCATGACTGCGCAAAAAGACTTTCAGGTTCAGTCGTTGGAAAAGTCCAGACATCCATAGGTCCAAAAGCTTCCATGCACAATTAGGAATGTTTGGAATAAAATATTTCTGTTTGTGGGAAAAACATTTTCCTACATATTAGCTGAATTTCATTATAGGCCCTTACCTTCATTGGACATTTTTACGTTAAAAGTGCCTAACGCTAATCCTTCATGCAATTGGTGACATTTAAGAGTATAAAAAGTGTTGGTTAATGCCAAAATACATTCTAAAAATACTGTAATTACCAAGAAGACAAAAACTTATTTACCTTTGTAATATTTTATAGTAGGTTGAGAGTTTATCATTATTAGTGTGCTGTTTGGACGGAAAATGTATGCTCCAGAGGACCTGTTTGCTGGTACTTCATTGTTGCCAACTGCACTCTCATAGTAGTAGAAGTTCTGTTGGAAGTCAGGACTGTCTAAAAACCCTGGGCCATGAATGGTGGTTGGCAGTCCAGTCTTGCTGTCAATGGTGACTCTCAATGAGCCCTGTAACAAGTATTGACGATTTAGCCAGGAAGACGATGATGACGCCTCGGTGCCTCGGGAGATGCCGTGCCAAGCAAAAGTGCAAGGTTAGGCGGAAATACCTGTAACACTGTTTTTATAGAGAGAGAGAGAGAGAGAGAGAAAAAAAATCTTTATTTATTACAAATTGTTTTGCAGCAATAAATACAAAAATATCACATGGGTCACAATGACCTGTGCGTGATAGAGTCCTTAACTGTCTGCTTAATCAAAATAAAAGTTCTTCACAATTCACTTAATACACATAAAAAAAGAACTAACAATAACTTGGTAAAATAATCATACAATTATATACTATACAATTACAGTTATAATAACCTAAAAAACCATATGCAACGTGCACTCAATAACTAGGGGTGCTCATTGTTTGCATTACATCCGATGAAAGCATAACTTTTTTCTTTCAAACCCAATTTTAATAAGGCGTGGATTCCGTCAAGTAAGAGTGCTGTGGAAGGTATAATTATAGATTATTGGGAGAGGGGTGAACAAACTTGCGCGGGGGGGGGGGGGCACAGAATCTTATCGCTGCCACTGATTACAAATAATTAAAAGAAGTGGCAACCCACACCTCTTGGTTGTTAAAGATACGAGGGCGGTTTTTTTAAGTAAGGGCCAGTTTCGTATATAAATCTGTAGTTGGCTTGTGCCATTTACTTGCTGTTGCATTTACATGCACTTACATCACCATTTACTTGCTTAATTTGTGAACAGAATGACACAAATTTAAGCTCTGTACATGACAGCTACAGAGCTGAATATTATGTCATTCTGTTCACAAATGATGCCAGTACATGATGATGAGCCTCGTTGCAAGGTACAAGCGAACTACAGATTTATACTCCAAACCGGCCTTTACTTCAAAAACCACCCTCTTGTATGTATTTTATACTAAACCAAAGGCTCACATATTTTTAGGGTGCAGCCTTAATCCTCAAGGAGGAAAATAACAATACAGTAGACTCCCTCTTATCCGGACTCCTCAGGACCGAGGCCAGTCCGGATAACGGTTTATCTGGTTAAGCCGACGACCCCAAAAACTCGTAAAAACGGATTGTTTAAATGCGTATTTGACTTAAATTTTGGAAAGCATTGTATTTAGACACGTGATCACTGGTCTCAAATCTTTCCCTCAAGAACGGTCGTTTCAGTACCGCTCACTTTCTAGTCCTGAGCTTCACTTTCGCCGATCTAGTCCTGTTAAACCTATGTGCTGATAAAAATTGTCCGGTTAAAGTGATGGAATTTCCGCCGAGTGAATTCCGCTTAAACAGATGTCCGGTTAAAAGGTGTCCGGATAAGAGGGAGTCTACTGTAAACTAATTTTAGTTCTCCCGCATTAGCATTAAAATTGTAGTATTCCTCTACGATCACAACGATTGCACACGATAATCTTGCAAGCACGGAGAATTCCTGAAAATCTGTTGCGATTATGGCTAAAACCTTAACATCTTCTGCAATCACAGACACATTATCAATGTCTTCAAAGATCACAGAGACATAATGGACCTTCTCTGTGATCACAGATATATCTTAAAGATGGTCTCGTATGTAAAATCCTAAACATATAAATCACGGTAAATCCTTTTGTCTAGGAGGGGGGGGGGGGGGGGTTATGACTCCTAGACATCTATATCCATCTATAATATTATAAAATTGAGGTGGTGTCTGTTTGTCTGTGTGGCTGCCACGACTAAAATACTAAACCGATACAGCCCAAATTAAGCACAAAGATGGTCCACATATCTAGGAATGTCATAGGCCTATTCACTTCCCTGAGTTCCTCCCGGGCTACCCCCCCTCAGACGTCCAAAATTTTGAGGTGAGGTTTTCAAAAGTAAATATTAATTTGCCTCCATGGGAGCATTAGAAAATTTACAATCTTTGTTTACCTTTGCGTTTACATTTCAATGTAAACAGTCAGAACTAAATGCTAAAAGCTTAAATTAGTAAATATTAAATTAAATAAGTATATTTCATAACAAGAGTAGAAATTAATTCATTAAATATTTGAGACCATGATTGAAGTGCGAGATTTATCGAGTACTTTAAATGGTCGAGGTATAGACCCACTTTCACTCGTGTTTTGAACGTTACTTTTTGCTACACTACAAAGAATAATTATTTTCTTCATTACAAAACTCATAGAACTTTTTAGTTTATGCCTTCAATTTATAGTTAATGTTTACTTTAGTTGTTGAAAATCTGTTGTGCTTTCACAATAGCACTGGGCCAGGTTGTGACAGCCAGCTCGGAACTGAACCTTCATAATAAGATCTTCAGGAGTGCTTAAACGTCAGTTCATGAGGTGTTGTATTAGTTGATGTACATAATAATGATCTTATAGAGTGAAGTGCTTCAGGAAGAACTGATTCCCAATACTTTACAGGTAAGTCTTGGGTTCTGAGAGCAAGCATAACAGAGTCTTCCATATAGTGCCATTGAATCTCTCTACTTGGCCATTCCCTCTAGGATTATAAGCAGAAGAGTAGCCTGACGCAACACCATGAGTGTGTAGGAAAAATGTTTATTCTTCTTACATTTATGACATTCCTCAGTCTGAATGAATGAATGAAGGCATACCGAAAATAATAAAAAATTCTTTCAGTTTCTCAATCACGGTACTGGAAGTCATGTGGAACAGGGGAAAGCAAATGGATATGGTGAATACTCGTCTACAACAGTTAAAATATACTTATTTCGTGTAGCACTTGGAATTGGTCCTTTAAAGTCTAAGTTCAGTCGCTCAAAAGGTGTTGTAGCTTTAACGTACCTTCATATTTACAAAACCTAGGCTTAAGTTCAGCACAAATTCGACATTGGGCTATAGTACATTGAACTTCTTCCAGTGAAAAAGGTGTCCAGTGGTAAAATCTTGTCACTCCCGGGCGACACAGACTCGTGTGGATATCATTTAAGTCTGGACGACCACAAATTGTTCCACACAATCGTGACATGGTGTCTGCAACTTCATTTTCCTTGCATGGTCGAAATAAGATTTCATACTTGAAACAAGACAGTTCTAAACGCCAACACCGTATCTTTTCATTCTTTATTTTTCCAAAATTTCTTTATTGACAAACATGAAAGAAACTGGTCTTTGGTCTGTAATGAGTAGAAATGGCCGGACAATAAGATAGTGTCTCCACTTCTTAAGATATTCTACAATTGCTTGAGCTTCTTTTTAAACAGAAGAATGGTTCTTTTCAGATGTTGATCATGTTTTCGAATAAAAAGCTACTGGACGTCCTGCTTGTGACATGGTTGAGCCGATTGCAAACTCAGATGCATTGGTCTCTGTTGGTGAAATTAAAGTTAATGAAAGAAGATTTGTTATAAACTCTATTATTTTCTTACAAACACAACACAACACTGAATTATATTTTGTAAACAACTGCATATGTAAAATGTAAAAACATATGATGGTCCATCACTAATCCAGACTAAATGAGTTGGGTTGCAATATTCAACATCCTCACCCAACTTAGCTAGGTAAAAGTCCTAGGCACTTTTGAAATTTGTGATGTTTTGGTTCACTTAGTCCTTTAGTAAAAATATCAGCAACCATGTACTCTGTGGGTTTGTAGTTCAATTTTATTTCTCCATTTTGTACTTTTTCCCGTATTTAGCTTTGCTACCGGAGCAAAAGTTTCATCGTAGTCAATGCCTGGTTTTTGTGCAAATCCTTTTGCTACCAGTTGTGCTTTTCTTCTTTCTAGCTCTCCTTTTGGTTTTAGTTTCTTCTTTAATACCATTTTACAACCAATTACATTAATTTCTTTGTTTCTATCCTTGAGCACCCAAGTTTCATTTTTTAAATGAGCTTTTATTTCCTCTTTTATTGCTTCATTCCATTCCTCTGAAGATTCGAAAGTTGAATCTTCATTGCAGGTAGCTGACATTTGATAATCTTTTGTCCAAAGAGGAGGTTTTCTTCGCCTTTTCTTTGATACCCTTATTTCATCAGTGTCTAAATGTTCATTTCAGCTTAGTGAGTCATCAGGTTGATTTTCAATATCATTTTAGCTTGGTGAATCATCAGGTTGATTTTCAATATCATCTTCGAAAATAATATCATTTTCCATTTCACTGTCATTTTCTTCTTCAAATATAGTGTCAAAATCAGACTGGTCATCATTATTTTCGCTCTGTTTGATCGAAATAATGCAAAAATCTTGATCTTTTTATCACTTTCCTTTATTTTATTTTGCTCAAGAAGATTGTAATAATTTACATCTTCATTGCTTTCATAGTACATTTTTGAAAGAACTTTTACATCTCTTGCAATTTTAACCTGCTTTTGTTGTGGCATCCAAATTCTGTATGCTTTTGAATTGCTTGCATACCCCACAAACATTCCTTGCTCCGCTTTCGGATAAAATATTTCCTTTTCTTGAAGCTTTGTTTAATAGAAATACTTTTGATCCAAATATTTTCAAGTGTCTTGCTGAAGGCTTTCTTCCAGTCCATTTTTCATAGTGCGTTAAGTGTTCAGTAGCTTTTGAAGGGCATGGATTTCTTATATAGTTAGATGTGTTAATAGCTTCAGCCCACATACATCCTGGTAGATTTGATTCTATCAGTAAACATCTTGCCATATCCAATAATGTTCTAATTTTTCTTTCAGCCAAACCATTTTGTTGCGGCGTGTATGGAACTGTTAGTCTTCGCCTTATACCATTTTCTTTCAAGAACTTGTCAAATTCACCATTACAATATTCTATGCCATTATCTGTTTGCAGAAACTTGATTTTATTCCCTGTTTGATTTTCCACCTCATATTTATATTCTTTGAAACGTTCAAAAATTTTGTCTTTTCTTTTCAAAAAATATACATAGCAGTATCTTGAATGTTCATCAATGAATGTTCCAAAATACTTATTTCCTCCAGGTGTAGTTACTTTCATAGGACCTACAATGTCAGAATGTATGACTTCTAACAAGCCTACATTATTTGCAATCTTTCTTGATTGAAATGGTGTTTGTGTCAATTTCCCTTTAATACACGTTTCACATTCTCCAATTTTGTCTTTCATGTTGAAGGTTAATCCATTCAAAGATTCATTTTTTAAAGCTGTTTTTAAGTCAACCTTGTTTACATGACCTAACTTCTTATGCCAATCTATGATCTCAGGTTCTTTTGTAAAGTTTGATTTTTCATTTACCGTTATAGATTTTGTACTTTTGACATAATAAAGACCACCTTGACGTTCTGCTGCCACAACTACATTTCCTCTTTGGTTATGGACGACAGCTTTCTCTTTTTCAAAAATCACTTTAAATCCTTTATCTGTTATTTTACTGACACTCATTAGATTTGTTGCCAAGTCTGGTACAAACAGAGTGTTATTCAAATGTATGATTTCAGAATTTTTTAAATTCCAGCGAAACCGTTCCTGTTCCAGAAACGTCAGATGTCTTTCCTTTAGAAGCAAGTTTCGAAATTCCGTTTGAATTTTTGATATCTCTGAACTGTGATTTCTCTCCACACATGTGCGATGTACATCCACTATCAATACACCAATCAGATGAAGTAGAACCTAAAATGTTCAAATTTGAAGAGAAACATTCAGCCTCTGCTTTAAAACTATTTCCCATTTGTTTGGATCTACAGTTGGTGGCTTTGTGTCCTATTTTTCCACATCTAAAACATTTAACTTTGAAACCTACTTTTGTAGTGTTGTTCTCATCTTGTTTCTTATGACAGTAAGTGTTGTGAATACCTTTCTTGGAGTTGAACTGCTTTGTTTTGCAATACAATGTATCTTCATTATTCGTACAAGTGTCTTTTGACCTAGCTTCACTCTCCTCAATTACTTTTATTTTTAAATCATTAGGAGAAGGTAAAGTGTCTCTAGACTCAATTGCTACCCGGAAATTTTCAAATGATGATGAATAAGCTGATGATTTCTTGAAGTTTGTCAACAATCTCCATAAATTTGTTGACATGATCCCTAGCATCTTCTCCATCTTTCATTTTATGAACTATTAACTGCTTTAATAATGTGGCTTTCCTTGCAGGACCTGAACTTTGGTAATTGTTCTGCAGGCAATCCCATACTTCTTTGGAAGTTTTGCAGTTTTTTACTAATTTCAATTCACTAGGTGAAATTATCAATATTAGTTCTGATTTTGCTTTAAGATCTTTAACTATCCAGGCATTCTTACCAACTTCATCCTCAGGACATTTGTTCTCCCCCCCCCCCAGATACAAATTCCATTAGGTTTTGTTGGATTAGTCTTGAATTTTCCAAGTGTCATAATTATTTCGTTTCAAAGGTTCAATTCTATAGCCAAAACTCATTTTACTTATTTTTAAGCACAGAATACTGTAAAATGATTATTTTATCATTCCAAATGGCCCATAACCTTTGTTGGTGAAATTAAAGTTAATGAAAGAAGATTGGCAGATTAACCGGTGACTTACTCACCGGTACCGCCCCGGGGCAAGAGTCTTGGTATCCCAGAACGGTTATGGACCGGATTACGGTACACATTGGATTATAATTTACACATCCACCCACTATTTGCTTTATAATATTTAAATCAAACAAACAGACTTGACCTCACGTAGTAAATTATTTGAAAATTATTCGTTTATTACGTAATATCAAATTGAACAAATTATTCACTCATTACGTAATATAACCTATAAAACTGATGAAAATTATTCGATGGACACGCCATCTTGCCGTAGCTGCAAGCTGTTGTCCAAGAAACTGACCAATCAGAGGCCGCCGGTGTATTATGCACCGTACAATTTCTCCGGTGAATAAATCTTGCACCGGTGGAGGAAAAAGTGGAAATAGCTGTCTGCTAGGTTAACTCACCGGTCTCCCAGAACGACACATTTTTTGCACCGGTGCGGCACCGGTGCACCGGTACATGTTCCCAGAACGCGCTCATTGATTATGGAAATAAAGAAAGATTCTATAACTGTAAGTTATGAAAATTGTGTTATTGATATATTTTGATGTAAACAGTAGGACAGTCATACTTTTTTGTGTAAATTTGGTGGCTTTTTGTTTATAAATTCGAACTACTTAACTGATGTTTGGATTAGGCGGTATAGTACATATTCTCTTTGCGAAGCACGGGAACAGCAGCTAGTCAGGGCCAGTTCTAGGAATTTTTCAGAGTTAAGAGAACACCCGAATCAGCGCCACCTAGAATTCCCCCCCCCCCCTCCCACCATTAACATAACTTAACCCTATTTGTGAAATTTGTTGGGAAGTACTTTTTTATAAGTTTAGGTTAGAAGAATACTTGCAATAAAAGACTTTTTTCAACTACTGTTTATTATTCACAGAAATTTAACATTTTTACACTTTTACTCATCAAAGACACTTTGGCAAAACCCCAAGTTAACAAGTTATTTCTAAATGTGAAATCATTTTGTACAGGATAACTTGGATACGATATAAGTTTTTATAAAGCATATTACAATGGTAAACAGGCGTAGGTAGATGACAAGAGTGGAATTTTTAATTTAATACATTAAATATGTAGAAAACATGATAAACCAAATTGAAGTATTACCTTGACAAAAAGAATACAGAATGTTCAATTAAAAGTGCAATACAACGTACTGCTCTGCTCTAGGAGGGGAAGAAGGGAGGGGGAAGTTTCTTGTTGTGAAAAGTGGCGCTGCACGCTTATCTCGACCATGAGTCATGAAATGAAACCCACAGGCGCCGCGCTGTACGCTGCCGAGCGTCAGCTGACTACAAATCGAGACTGCAATCAATGCCTTGAGTCCTTGAGTTGAAGTGCTGTACAAGTATACACATTTTTCAAGTGCTGTTGGTACAAACAGAATAAATGCCTTTGGTGTGGTGCTTTGGATACTTGAACTCTGAGCGAAAAAAAAAACAAAATTAAGTTGTTCACTTGTCATTTAAGCTGTTTCCAATTTTGTCTTCTGAAAAAAAAATTGTGTCCCGTTGGCACCACTTTTTCGTGGCGCCATACGCAACCGCGCAGTTCGTGTATGGGTTAAACCGGCCCTGCAGCTAGTAGTTCCTGTAATAGTTCCTATAATTTAACTAGTGTTAAGAAAAAAATTACGAACTTAGTACAATTTTTATAATTTATAGAAATGTAATCACTATTTTTTCCTTGTTAAAGCATTAGTATTTTTATTGTTCTTTGTTGCATGTGTTTTTTGTTTGTTTAAAAGTAAAAAAAATAAAAATAAATTGCTCTGTAATTTTTGTAAGCTTGTATTCCATGATTATTTATTGTATTTGTGTATTGTTATCAACAGTGAATAAACTCTGCCAGTAACAACATTGTAAAATTGCATGTACCTAAAGATTTCCTTGCACGTGCGTGTGCACAAGAGGATGTGAAATATTTAGCTTGATGTTGCATGAAATAAAGATTTTTGAATTGAACTCCCAAAACCACTATAACAATATAATCTATAAGCACTAATCTTAAGCACTATAATCTAATATAAATTAGATAATTTGGCTCCATCACAAGCTTGTTTTTACAATTGGTAAACTGGGTGAATATAGTAACTGAATACAATTCCCTCCTAAAGTTCCTAATTGAGGTACCTCAGTTTTCTAATTATTAAAACAATTTTTTAAATATGAATTCTTCTAACATTGAAGATATATGATAAGTTTTGTACCTTGTGCCCTACAGTAAACTGTCTGCCATTGGTCCTCTCTGGTATAATGTTGGGCGAGACCAGAGTGTTGCTGGGTGAGACGTAATATGATCGGAAGCCCAGAGGAGGAAGATCCACAACTCTGAACACAAGCTCTACGCTGGCATCACTGAACCTGCCTGGCACGTTGACCACTGGTTCTGGCACTGGCACTATCTGAACCGGTATACTTTGGCCTGTAACATGTGAAGATAGAACACAAGCTCTACGCTGGCATTTCTGAACCTGCCCGGAACATTAACCAATGCTTCTGGCACTGGCACTATCTGAACCGGTTTACTCTGGCCTGTAACAAGTGGAGATAGAACACAAGCTCTACGCTGGCATCTCTGAACCTGCCCGGCACATTAACCAATGCTTCTGGCACTGGCACTATCTGAACTGGTATACTCTGGCCTGTAACATGTGGAGATAGAACACAAGCTCTACGCTGGCATCTCTGAACCTGCCCGGCACATTAACCAATGCTTCTGGCACTGGCACTATCTGAACCGGTATACTATGGCCTGTAAAATGTGAAGATAGAACACAAGCTCTACGCTGGCATCTCTGAACCTGCCCGGCACATTAACCAATGCTTCTGGCACTGGCACTATCTGAACCGGTATACTATGGCCTGTAACATGTGGAGATAGAACACAAGCTCTACGCTGGCATCTCTGAACCTGCCCGGCACATTAACCAATGCTTCTGGCACTGGAACTATCTGAACCGGTATACTCTGGCCTGTAACATGTGGAGATAGAACACAAGCTCTAGGCTGGCATCTCTGAACCTGCCCGGCACATTAACCAATGCTTCTGGCACTGGAACTATCTGAACCGGTATACTCTGGCCTGTAACATGTGGAGATAGAACACAAGCTCTAGGCTGGCATCTATTGAAGAAAACACACAAAAACATAGAGAAATTGAATGGCATGTAATATTACATACATCAATTCATTTCTAGTCTCTGTCTCAAAGATATAAAAATAACCAGAATTTGACGATACCTTGAGGATCTTGAACGGTGTATGCATGGCCATCTCCAGACACTGGCAGTCGGATGTAGCGGGACACGTTGCGACTCAAGGGGTTGTACAGGGTCACGACAAACGTATTGTGTGACTCTGAAGTCTCACACTGACTGATGTTGAACAGCATACAACTGTTAAGTACCACCGGGGGAGTGGATGCTGTCTTGGCCATCAACTTGCTGAACAGAGACAAATGTATACACTCCTCTGTAGCACATACAGTAGCTTTTAATCTTATACTATTCATGAGACTACCTGGTATCTTATAGTTATAGAGCTATAGACACTGTGCACATTCAATTAGTCATAATTTGGAAAGGCGGTATTATTAAAATAAGTCTAAGCTGAAAAACATAGCTAAGACTTATGCTACACATTACATCAGTACAAATTTTGATACAGTTTTTCTTTACTTAACTGTTTGATGTATCAATTTTAACTGTTTATAATCAGGTTACTGTCGTTACTTTAAGCTTTGTTACAGTTTAAGAAAGGAAAACTAATAATATGTCTACCACTACATGATGTATTAAAAAGACAAAAGTTAAATCAATAAATGCTGCGGACAAGCCTTTAATAAGGATTATGCAGCTCAGTGTTAAATGGATGTGTATTGCCTTTGTAATGAGTGAATAAATCAAATACACCCGCCACAGCAAACCTGCAGACTAAGCAAATTTCAATTTGCAAATTGGATTTACACTAAAATGTCTCCTTAAAAATATCACATTTAAATAGCATTAGTATAACGAGTACTCTAGGTTTGCTGCAACAGGGAGAGTACAAGTTTTTTTTTATGTAAATAGTTAAGTATGAAATAAATGCATTTTCCAAATGAAATCAAAATATACTCATAAATATGAAAACACCAACAGTTTAGGTACTTATTTTCCATAAGAATAACAAAGGAATTTTAAATTGACAACTTTTGGTAATTTTCTCTTTAACCATTAGATGCATTATAACGCTTTATTATACTAAATTATTTGATTTTTAAGCTCTACAAAATTGTTTGGAAATAAATTGCTAAATTTTATGTTTTTAGGGTCAAAATTTTTACCCCATAAAGTTCCATGGTCTGATCATGCTGGTTCGCGAACTCGTTTGAATAAATGTAGGTTTAGGTTTAGGGCGAGTTTATACCAAATTTCGTCAAAATCGGATAATTTTTTATCGAGTTATCGTGCTAACGGGCATATATGAACATGCCCGTAGTTATGCTCCTTTTATATATATATATATATATACTTTTGTACCCACCCGGAGAGGCAGTCACCGCGCTGGTAATTTACCAGTCACCCGCCCGAAAGCCAGTCAGCTCTCCCAAAAGCCAGTCAAGTATGGCTTCCCGTGCACTTTATACGTTTGAAAACAGCTTAACCGCTGCTGCTGCCTGTGTCGATAAGCGTAACTGCAATACCAATGCGGAGACTGTCTCATCGTGTGTTCTATCGTGGAGTAGTGTAGCCAGTACGGCACCCTCCTCGCCTACTTTGTAGCGGTAACACCCAGCGGTCGGTAACCTTCGTTTACTCCTTGTTACTATTGATGTTGGGATAGTGATTAACTACGTGTTAATGTTTAAACATGTTCATATTCCAAATAAAGATGATGCACCTCTAATAAGGAACTACAAATATTAATTAATTATAAATGGTTGAATCTTAAAAACCTATCCGGTCATCATCCCAAATTTTAAGTTTTCTTTTTTTCACCTTCAGTAGAAATTTTAGTCAATATCTCCTTTATTGACGTACAATATTTACAGTGTGTCCACGGACCGGGAAGATCGGGAATTATACGGATTTTCTTTATCTCGAGAAATATACGTGAATCTTCTCCGAGATACGGAAACTGTTTTTTTGACGCTATTGCGTAACGCGAAGGAGGAACTATTACATGTGGCAACGATATTATTCTATCTGATAAGAATAACCACGAAACTACACTCGATAGATAAAAGATGATTATAATAATTTTAATTTTACAAAAAAAAACCATTACAGGAATTCTATTTTGGGACGGATGAAAGATAAGGAAGCAACAAAAAGTGGTCATGAGTGCAAATACGGGGGGGCCCCCCCCTTTGTTCCTCCTTTGTTTGTCCCCTTTGTCCTTTTTGTTGACAAACGCCAGAAACGATTATTTGTTAACTTTTCAGATTCCTTATAAAATCTCTCTCTCTCTCTTTCTCTCCCTCCCTCTCTCTCACTCCCCCCCTCTCTCTCTCTAACGATGTACAGTTTGTGGACTTTACTATTTAAGTTTCCCTCCAATTATTTCAATTCAATCCTATACCTATCCTTATGGTTTCCTTTCTATTGTTTTTTTTTTTAGCGAATTTCCCATATAGGGAATAAGCTATTACCGTAGTACTCATGGTAAGACCTGGACCCGAGACCGATCTAATTTTTCATTTTGAGGTCCCTAGAGGCCAAAAACACCATCCGTTCAAATTCATATATATATATATATTTATATATATATTTATATATATATTTATATATATATTTACATATATATATATATATATATATATATATGTGTCCGTTAGCGCGATAACTCGAGCAAAAATGATCCGATTTTGATGAAATTTGGTACAAACGTGTAAACCTACGTTTATTCGAACGAGTTCGCGATCCAGCATAATCGGACCATGGGAACGGGGGTTTATGGGGGGTTTTATGGGGTAAAAATGGGTTTTTCCCATTTTTCAACCTAAAAACAACAAATTTTGCGATTTCTTTCTAAACCGTTTTGTAGAGCTTAAAAAAAGAAATAATTTAGTATGAAGCGCTGTTGTATGCCTAATGGTCACGGAGAAAATTCAAAAATAGTGTAATTAAAAATTCCCATGTTATTCTTATGGAGAAAATGAAAATTGTTGTAGTTTACTTGTTTATGGGTATATATTGATAAAATTTGGCAAATTTATTTATTTCATCCTATACTATTGACGTATGGTCAAAAAACACTTTTTACCTTCCCCGTAGCAGCAAACCTAAGCACTCGTTAAATCTAATGTTATTTAAATAGGGAATAATATGTCTTATTTATGGAAATATTTTAGTATAAATGTAATCAGACGAGTTGAAATTCGCTTAGTCTGCAGGTTTGCTGCGGCGGGGGTATTCACTCTTCAATCAGTCATATTCAGTACAGACTAGCAAGCACAATGTGTGTTCCATCTTTTAGCGAATTTCCCTATAGGGAAGTAGCTATTACCGTAGGTCTCATGGTAACACTTAGGCCCGGGACCGATTTACTTTTTCATTTTGATGTCCCCAGAGGCCAAAAACACCATTCGTTCAAATTTTTATATATGTATATATATATATATGTGTCCGTGAACACGATAACTTGAGTAATTTTTATCCGATTTTGATGAAATTTGGTTTAAAGGTGTAAGGCGGGATAAACTTGAATGAGTTTGCGATCCAGCATGATCGAACCATGGGAACAGGGTTTTATGGGGGGTTTTATGGGGTAAAAATTGGTTTTTCTCACTTTTGACCCTCAAAACACAAAATTTCCCAATTTTCCTCTAAACCTTCTTAAAGAGCTTAAAAAAACAAACAATTCAGTATATCAAAGTGTTTTTGTACGGTTATTGGTTATGGAGAAAACTAAAAAAATGGTCAATTTAAAATTCCCATGTTATTCTTATGGAGAATATTGTAAAATGTTGTAGTTTGCTTGTTTATGGATATCTTTTGATCAAACTTGGCAAATATATTCATTTTATACTAAGCAATAATTATTTTACTTAAAACACACACTTTATTAGTTTCCTTGTAGCAGCAAACCTAGGTACTCGTTAAACCTAATGTTATTTAAATAGATCAATTGAAAATCAATTCAGCCAAATGGAAATTCGCTAAGACGGCAGGTTTGCTGCGGCGGGGGTATTTTATAAATAGTAAAGCTGGCTAAACAATTTTTTTATTTTGTTTTCTTGAAACCAAACACTCTTTACCATCTGGTATTCTGCAGAGTAAAATGTTTAACACTGTGTTTATAAAAATTGAACGGCCTCACAATTTCGTGTTTAATTTTTTTTAAGTAATAGTAACTTAGATATTTATATATACCAATAAGTGCTGCAAGCTGTAATGAATGCTTCTGTTTAATATCAAAATAAGCTATGAATTATTAAACTCAACACTTTTTAATTGAACCAACTAAAGAAGACATAGATTAAAACTATTATTGTTTTTAACAACACATTTAACAATTTAACCATCTGGTATTCATCATTGAAGTATAACATTAAAAACAGACATGTGGCAAATATTAAATTGCACTCAACACCCCTCCTCAATTTAATAATTTTACATTTGACACAATTAACAAACAAACAATCCTAACATCTTTCTCAAATTGCCAAACCGAGGTGCAGGCAGACTTTTTGTAAAAATGTCTGCAATCTGATTTTCCGAACATATATATTCTGCAGACATGATTCTCCGCTGGTGAAGTTCCCGCACAAAATTGTATTTAACATTCACATGTCTCAATCGGCGATACTCCCACTTCTGTAGAAGTCGTATGCAAGATTGATTATCTTCCAGGATGCGGATTGGTAACTTAAGCAAAATTTGAAAATCTTCTATCAGATACTTCATCCAGAGTAATTCGGCTGCTGCTGTTGCCAAAGCTACATATTCCGCCTCTGTAGATGATAACGCAACACTAGATTGCTTCTTTGTTGCCCAACTTACAGTACTTCCAAACACTTGTATGAGATAACCTGAGGTCGATCTTGAATCTCCACTTTTATTCCAGTTTGCATCAGCGTAAGCCAGAATAATGTCATATTGTTTGCTCTTTCGATAACATAATTTTAAGTCGATTGTTCCTTTTATATATCTTAGGACTCTCTTCAAACATTTCCAGAGTTCTTCTGTTGGGTCACTTTGATGCCTGCTTAGGAAATTTACTACAGCACTCAAATCTGACCTTGTACCTAGCATTGCATACATTAAGCATCCGATTACTTCTCTGCACGGCTTATCAGTCCTTTTTCCGCCTTTGATTTCTAGTTTTACTTCCATTGGCGTTTTGACTGGGCAACAATCTTGCATGTTAAATCGTTTAAGAAGACTCTTTAGGTAGGCAGTCTGACTTAAGTACATTTCCCCCTCACTCCTGGAGATTTTGATTCCCAAAAATGTTTTTG